TAAGGCGACCCGACCGCTTTTATGGGCCAAGGGCGTCACCCCGGCATTGCAATACGTAAAATCGGTTCAAAAATAATAATCGTATATTCAGCTCACGCCGTCAGCAAAGCCCACTATTCTATGCTACCTCGTCCCGAGCGCCGTACGCGGGCACCCTAACCCCACCTGTCAAACGGTGGGAGGGCACGCCGGCTTGCTATTCCTAACGAACGTCGTTTCACTACGGTCCCTTACTAAAGCGGCAATCTTTTTATATTCTATTCATCCCGAAATCTCACTTCAATGTGATAATAATAATCAGTTACTATCCTTTACTTTTCTTTATATAGAAGTGTCACATCCGCAATCTATTTCTGGTCTATAAAGCTTATGCACAGGATACCCTTTCCTTTCGTCAAGTTGCATATATATGCATTCAAGATAATGTCTCTTATAATTATGTTCATCACCAATCTACATCCATGCACATGTGTACACGCTCCGTGTTGTCCCGCAGTATAATATGATAGTATCAGTTCAGTGCATAGCAATATCCGATTCGTAGCAACCTTTCTCACCCCTTATATCCATTTATAAGTAGATTGTAGTTAATACCTCTGATGTTATTTCAGGCTAAACAGTACGCACAGGTGTAACGACAGCGCATGGGAACGTCCCGTTTGACCACGTCCCGATTGACCACAGCCACTCACAGCGGCCGGTGCCTAGAGATTTTCCACTGTTCAAGTGCTGTGAGTGGCTGGTGGTCAATCGGGACGTGGTCAATCGGGTATCACCCCAGCGCATGCACCCCTGCAGTGCCACATTATATCCTTGCAGTTGTTTGACAGGTAACGCTATTCTATTATATTATCCACTCTTTGAATACTATTAAATCGTGCTAACGAGTCACTTATTCACATTTGTCATGAGTTGACAGTGATCAATGTCTCTAATGTTATTTCCAGGCTTTACGGCGCACGTAGGCGCAGCGACAACATGTGTATCCCCGCAGTGTGACGCTATATCCTTGCGACTAGTCAGCAGGTAACACTATTTATAATCTATTCTACTTAATTTCCCTTAAGTTATATCTGCACGTCACTACCAATTCCCGTTTCTCATAGATTGGTGGTATTTACTATCTCTGATATTATTTCCAGACTATGCAGCGCATGCAGACGCAGCAGCAGCACATGTCCTCCCACAATGGCACATATTCTAGCAGTCATTCAACAGGTGACACTAATTTAACTATCCACTCTAATAGTACCTTATTGAATCGCATCAGCAAGACATCTCTTATTTCCAATTATCATAAGCGATAATAATTAATGCTTCTAATATTTCTTCCAGGCTATACAGTGCACACAGGCACAGTGACAGCTTATGTGCTCCCGCAATGTGATAATCATTCGATCCTCCAGTCTCACAAGCAGGAAGCGCTCCCCCTACACTACCCGTATGCTCCGCATTTACTGTCTCTTATATATTGCTACCTGTCATTAAGCCACGCTACGTACACAGGTGCAGCGGCACCGCACGCACGGCCACTACTTGTTACTTGTATATTTATTTATTCATGTATGAATAAATAAACGCTCTGACTTCAACTAAGATAACACTATCTAGCAGTCTCTGTCCTGTATGTTATAACCGTGCCGTACTATATTATCACCGCAGGCTATGTTTTCTTGTGTAAATTTCAGCATCGAGTCAATGGTGTAGTTAGCTAATTCCCTCACAATGTATTATGCTCAATCAAAGAATGTAACCGCCCACTAACAATATTTCTGATAATTAAGCCTCCAGCCTCTATATATGAGATGCCAGATCATTAGGCCCAAGGATTCGCTCCAAATTATATCTTTCTTGCTATAGTACAGGCCTTATCGGCAATTGTATATAGATGAGGGCAGAAGTCAACATCACGCATGTAACAATACACATAAAGCATCAAATAGCAGTCATCCACCTGCTACTCCGCCAGTATCCAAGCCTCCGTCCTAGGCACCATAACCTCACCAGTCACCTATATAAGCACTCGTAGGGCGGAGGGGTTTTCTCGGGGCGCTGTCCCGCTCACGTAAGTTATCGGACGGGTGATTTACTACCGGAAGGCGAAGATGTAAAGTAATTTACACCGCCCAGTCAATAAATTGTTTCATGCAGGCATCTATCAGTCAGGCACAGCTTAACGTTGTCAGCCAGTTAGCAAATTTCATATCGTTTCCCTCGCGAACGCATCCGACTACACGTGTACATATATTTCCCGCGACGGGATTCGCGTACGTGGCACAGGGTCGCCCAAAAAGTCTCGCGAGAGTGCACGGCACAGTGGATAAACACAGTCTATGCAGGCACGTGCACGTGCTGCATCACTCCGCTCCGACACCTCCGTTTCTCAGCTGTCAGGCTCCACTCGTCGCTCATCCCCCGCACGTCAGTTCTCAGGCGGCGCGGGCAGGCGCAGTTCCGTATGTCAATGTACGGATGCAGGGTCTTGGTGCAATAGCCGCAACAGACGTGCACAGGGCAACCGCATATATGTTTTACTTAATATCACACATTGCCAGGGCCTACTTCGCAATTATTCTTGTACTCCGTTATTGAGAGCTTCCACAGGCAATATCCGCGTCAAAACTCAATCGCAATCGTGTAACCACACGAGCGCCCGACGCATGGGCGCCTCTTCCACTCCCGCGTAAATACAGTATGCACTTTATAAGATAAATAAATGTCAAAGTTAATGTACAAGAGTACAACTCTGTCTAGAATACTTCCGCACGAAACACTCCATATATCATTCAGGACAATGCTGTAAGAGCGCGAGTCCTCCTACCAAAAACCGAGCGAGGTTCCCACTTCCCTGGCAACGGTGTTTTGCATCTCCTACCTTATTACTGATGACCAGCCGATGCAGCGGGTGCAGAACGCGTGCGGGCAGGAGTTAAAAAGCGCTGAACCCCAGGGACATCCACGCTGGCTATAATAGCAAGGGGAGACCGCGGGTCCCAAGAGCCCGCCAGGCACTCCGCAAGGGCAGCGAGAACCCTCCGGGAGAACGGAGGGACAGCTGACCAGCCGCCACCGGCCTACAGCACTGCACCTAGTTAATTACGCATGCAATCAAGCAGTGACATTCAGAAAGTCGCATGCGAAGCGTCACTACAAGCCACTGCAAGCAAAAATCGCTGCCATCACGGCCATAGCAGACATGCACATGCCGGCGCGGTGCGCGCCGCCACGCGTTCACTTTCGTGCAACGCAACCGAGCACGCTACTCCGCGCACCATGCGCACCCAGTGCAATTATTACCGCACTGACCACTGTCCGGCATAAGTGCATGCCCCGCCGGTCATCACCAAGTACGTGGCGCTACCACCGCAGAGTATGCGGAGTCAAGATCATGCACCTCACCAAAGGCCCATTTACACGAGCCCACTCGAGAAAACATGCACGCAAAATACACACCCGTGCACAGAACGTATTCGCAGCACAATTTATCTCTTATTTATTGTAAGTCTTTATCAGATCCAGACCGCGTAACAAACTCAATCCCGGATTACACGTTTCCGTACTGCCTTCATATAACTGTCGCGTAAACCGGAGTTCACATGCACTGTCGGTGTGTTCCCGCGTTTTCGGAGGACACGTCACACATGTAACACACCGGTCGGCCCGCACATATGTTTCGCTATTGTTCTGGAGTAAATCCAGAGTATCACCGGCCGTAGTATCTAATTGTCGCTAAACAGTGAACTGAGGCGTACTTTATTCCCGAGACCTAAGAAAGATCTCCGAACGGGATACTTCCGTCCACGCTACCGCGGTATACCCGGCGTAGCAAGACCAGCCATTTTAGGCCGGAGCCACGAGCCACGTTTCGCGACACTGGAAAATCGTTTATTTCTTTTAAAGAATCACACTCCTGCACACGAAAACTATGCAATTCAATGCAGAATCGTAATCCGCACACACTGGCCGCACTTTGGAGACGCTAAGCGTGTTATTTCCGCACGGTCGCATGCGGAGACGACGGAGCGGCACAGAGACACGTCCGTATGTCTCGACACACACGAGAGAACCCCAACCTAACCTTTTTTTTTATTTTGCGTAGGAGGAGAAAAATCTTCGCCAAGACCTGCACCAAGAAGGGACGATTCTCGCCTAGCCTAACCCTCGCAGTGGCAGCCCAGCGGTTTCCCGCCTAGCCTAACCCCCGCGGCAGCGGCCCAGCCGTCCTCGCCCCACCATGGGAGGCAAGACACCCACGGCCCGGTACCGTGGCGTGTGACCGATTCCATGCGGGATACATCGCAAAAGATACTATCCCACATGGCCTACGGCCTAAAAAACTCCCCCTTCTCCAACACCCTCACTCTCTTGTGGCGAGGGGGCCCCCGGGACGCAACGGATGCACTCATCAGGGACCCCCCCAGAATGCGGAGCCTAGCTCCCCCTCTCTTTCCGGGTTTCCTTCCCGTTCTTAAGTGAGCCAGCGCTCCCCCCTCGACAACTTCTCCTCTGTCTTCACCCTGACCCAACCTACGAGACGAGGGCGCGTCACCCTCTTCTCCCCCTGTGCGCCTGCCTTATTGAGGATTCCTCTGTCTGAGGCGCTCGGCGTCCTCCTTCGCTCGCATCACCCTTTCGCTGAATCTAATTAGGCTCCCCCACTTCTCTCCGCTGGACATGGCAGCCTCAAGAACCGGGCCGAGCCCCAGGTCCGGGCCGATCACGTTTATCAGCTGACCTCTTTCCTCCGCCCAAGCCGGGCATTCCTGCAGCGTGTGCTGCGCCGTGTCATCCGCCCCCTCGCAATGCGAGCAGGCGGGTGACGCGGCCCTACCAATTCTGTACAAAAATGAATTAAAACACCCGTGACCAAACACTATTTGCGTGGCCCGGAACGTGAGCCCGCCATGTCCACGGTTCATCTATCTCTCCAGGCTGGGGGCCAGAGCCTCGCGTACCCTGGCCCCCGACGCCGCAGGCGGGAGCGCGGCCATCCTTGCCCCTCATTCCGCGATTACCTCCTCGTGCACCCTTTTGCGTTGGGCCAGCCTGGTTCTCTCTGCTCCTGGAGCCCATCCTATCCCTGCTTCCCTCAGTTCCCGCGTTTGACGGTACAGCCGCCAATATCCCCTCGCCAGGATGTCGAACAAGACAATCCTGGCGAGGAGACAGGCGGCCTCGAGCGACACCGTCCTATAAGCCGCCACCACTCGTAACGCGATCCTCCTCTGGAGGCGCCCGATGTCCCGACAGAGACTCCTATTCGCCGCTATCGCCGGTGCCCACACCGGGGCCCCATATAAAATCATCGAGTGTACCACCCCGGCGTACAATCGCCTGCGGCGCTCGCCCGGTCCCCGCATGTTGGGCATCAAGCGCACCACCGCCATTGCCGCCCGCTCCGCCTTTGGCAGGATTTCCGCGAAGTGATCGACGAACGACCACTTCTGGTCGATGGTAAGACCCAGGTACTTGATACTGTTCTTAACGGGAATCCCGACCCCCGCAACGTTTATGTCCCCCCGCAGCGGATTATGCCACACATCGGCAAAGGACATCGCCTGCGTTTTTCGCAGGGATGCGCTCCACCCCAGACGCTCAAATGTCCCCACCAAGCGAGCTGCCGCCGTCTCCGCTCTTACGCGGACCTCCCCCTCGCTGTCCGCCGTTACCACAAAAGCAGTATCGTCCGCATAACAGATCACGGAGCATCCCGGCGGAAGTATCGTCTCTAACACCAGGTTGAAGACCAGGATCCACAGTATTGGTCCACTCCTCCACCGCCAACGCCCCCCTCCACGATCTCCCGCATTCTAAGTACCGCGTCGATCGTCGATCGGCCCCTCCTAAACCCGAATTGACCGGGGGACAAAGCCCCCGACGTCTCCAGGTGTCGGGTGAGCCTTTCCACGATCACTCTCTCGAACAGCTTGCCTGCCTCACTCAGCAGGCAAACCGGTCTGTACGACGACGGCTCCCCCTCGGGCTTTGCTACCTTTTTTAAAAGGACCAGCCGCGCCTTCTTCTAACTGTTTAAGAAGATTCCCTCCTTTAGGCAGGCCGTGAAGCACCCCGCCCACTGAGTGAGGAGGCACCCCGCCGTCCCGATCACGACCGCATTGAGTACGCCATCCGGCCCCGGCGGCCTTCCTGGCCCGGCTGATCCTCCCCACGGCCTCCTGCACCTCCGCTGCAGAGACACTCCACTCTTTGTCCCATCGAGGTTCCCGCGGCTCCTCCCGCATCCCCCGCAACTCCACAGGATGCGCCGGGAACAGCGCGTGCACCACTCTGCCTATCTCTTCCTCCGACATTGTCTCGCACACGGGGGGCCCGGCCGGCCGGAGCCGCCGCATCACGATTCGGTACAGGCGCCCCCAGGGATCCGAGTCGAGGGTCCCCAATAGTTCCTCCCACGCCGCCGTCTTGGAGCGCATGATGGCTCTACGCAGCTCCTTCCTCACTTCTCTCAGGCTTTTGGCAGCTTCCGCGGCCGCCTCCCGGTCGGCCCTGGCTCTTCTTCTCGTCGCTCGCCTCCTGCATCTAATACAGTGCGTCCTCAGCCCCTCGATCTCCTCGTTCCACCAGTAGACCGAGGGGAGACCGCCGGTTCTTCTGGCTCTGGGCATAGCGGCGTCCGAGGCCTCGCGAAGGGTTATGTCCACCCACTCCGCAGCCTCCCGCGCCGACCTCTCCAATCCTCCGGAAGCGCTCCATGCTCTAGCCATCGCTGCCGCCTGCAGCCTATCCTCATCCAGGCGCATCGCATTCCACTTCGGGAAGGCTTTATTCCCACCAGGGTTTTGTCGGCCCATCCTCGTCTTTAACTCAATCAGGATGTTCCGGTGATCCGAGAGGTTCACCGCCTCCGCATCCACCCGCCAACTTCTCACCAATCTCGCCGCCGCGGGATTTGCCCAGGAGACGTCCATCACCGATGTCCCCCTTGGGTGTACACATGTTGGAATCGTTCCCTCGTTTAGAAGCACAAGGCCCCCACTATCCGCCCATTCCACAAGCGCCTCTTCCCTCGCGTCTGAGTGTCTGTCATCCCACCTGGGGGAGTGGGCATTCAGATCTCCCAGCAGCAAAACTGGTTCCTGACTATATCTTGTGAGGACCTCTCCCAGCTCCTCCAGATATCTCACAAAATCCCCTATCCCATGCCTTGGGGAGTAGTAAACCCCCACCACCACCACCTCCCCCCAACGGACCACCACATACCCCGGTCCCCGGCTAAGGGGTATCCTTGCCATCCCACCGTGCGCCCCCTGCCACGAGATCGCCACGGTGGGCGGCTCCTCCACTGAGCCCAACCACCTGTCGTCTACCGGTACCCTATACGGCTCCGAAATCACGGCGAGGCTTGCGTGCGCCTCCTCCAGATTCTTCTGGATATCCTGCGCCGCCCTCGAATGGTTGATGTTAACTTGTATGAGCTTCGCCATCTCCAGCGTTCACTTCCATCTCCGGTTGGGCGGCCCTCCGTACCGCTGACTCATGTCCGTTCCTCAGTCCGCCGGGAGGGACCGGCGGGCAAGCCTCGCTACCCGCCCTGTGGCTCGTGCCCAGGCCCCTGTCCGCGCACACTGGGCATTGTGGCCGGCTTCTGCAGTCCCTTGCTTTGTGTCCTTCCTCTCCGCAGTTGCAGCAGAGTCCACTCCTGTCTGCCGCCGAAGGACACCTGTCCCTCACGTGCCCCACTGCTAGGCAGTGGAAGCACTGCAAGGGCCTCTTCTTTAGCAGCTCCACTCTGGCCACCGTCCATCCGATTCTGACCCTGGGAGCCTTTATAATTTTCACCGCGCATTCAAGTGGGCACTGCACGATCACCGACCAGAGTCCATTTCTTTGGACCCTCTTGTTGCCCACTCTCACTTCCTCCAGCTTTGCGCCGCCCACCTGAGAGATGACCCGCTCGATCTCAGCAATGGTGCCCAAGTCATCGAGGTTCGAGAGGCGCAGTTCAGCCCTCCTAGTTGGCCTTGCCACCCTCACGCCCTCTTCCTCCAGCACCTCCCTCAACTTTTGCGCCAGTTTGTCTGCCTTCTCGCCCATATCCTTTCCAGGGATCTCGACGATCAGTCCCCCGGTCAACCCTCTCCTTACCCTCGTTTCCACGATGCCCAGCGTTTCCAACGACACCGCCTCGCTAGCCCTCCCGAGGACCTCCGCGTATGACGGACCCCTCCCATCACACGTAATCATCACCGCCGCAGATCTTGGGACCCTTTTTCTAAGTTTCGCCAGCTCCGGGTCCACTACTCGCCCAGGAACTCCACTCCTTGCTTCCACTAATGGGCCCTTCGACCTTGTACTTCCTTCCTCGATTCCTCGGCTCTTCTTCCTCTCTCCTTTCCCTATCGTTTTCCTGCTCCTCACCGCACTCCACCCCGACTTTTCCGCCGAGGGCGCGGTTGACGGACCCTGTATCGCCGCATGCTTATTTCCTGTTCCTCCTTTCTCTCCCTCGGTCCCTCCGTTTCGCCCGGCCCCCCTGGCTCCTGAGCGTTGTCCTTTCCACCGAACAGCAGGAAGGGGGCCGACTCAGCCCCACTCTCTACGTCCTCTCCCGCCGCTTCCTCCTTGCTAGAAGAGGAGTCGAGTCGACGGCAAACTTTTCCCCTCTCGCTTACTCCCGCCTTTTATTTTTTTGGGGGAGGGGGTCGGAAGGTGGGGGAGCTCTTTGGCCTCTCTCTCCTCTTTTCCACCTCCTTTTCTTCGCCCTCCACTCGACGAGGATGGGTCTTCGTTTTTCCCCACAGTGTCCTCTCTTCCACCGAGAGGAAGACTTCTTCTTCTACCGCCGCACCGGTCCCCTCCTGTGCATTTGGCGTCGTGAGTGCCTCCTTTCTCGCCCTCTCTCTCCCCAGTCTCCTGGCCTCCTCGAGTTCCTTCCTGAGGCTCCGGACCTCCTTCTCCAGCCGGTCGCACCTCTCCCTAAGGTCGCCTACCACACTCTCCCTTTCCTCTACAGTAGACTCTGACGCTCCCGTGGCCATCCTGTGTACCGCGAATCTCGCCGAGTGTAGTCCGACTAATATCTTTTTGTTCAAGTCCCCTTTTATATTGGAGGACCTTCTCCGCGCATCTTCGGCTTCCGCGAGTACCTTTAGCATTGTGACTGCTATTTCTCTCCTCGACATTCCCTCGAACTTCTGTACAACCTCTTCCACTGCATCTTTCTGCCGCGCGGTGAGGTTCGTATCCTTTCTCTCTCTGTCCTCTAGCGTCCTCTTGTCTCCGGGTTTCCTCTGAGGAGTAGCGTTCTTCGCTCTCTCTACTTCCTTACTCCACGCGTCCTCGCTAGAATGGTTTGTCCCTTCTGAGGCCGAGGCCGACGTCTGCGCATCCTTTTTACGCGTTTTCAGTGGCTTGGTTGGGCCCTTGTAGTTAGGGCCACGCGGCCTGCCTCTCTCTCTTCTCAGCGATATTTCCGGAAGCCCCGGAAGCTTCGCTTCCCCCTCGCTTCCCGTGCTCAAATCCACTATCTCGGCGCTGCTGTTGGCTCTCCTTTTCTCTGCCACTTTGATCTTTTGAGCGTCTATCCTTTCCAGCGCAACCACCACCGGCCGCGTACACTTCTCTACTTTCTCCTTCGCCTCTACTTTCCCTTTCGCATTTGATTCATCGACGGAGGCATACTTATCGACTGGAGGGCCCGTCGGCAACTCCCCCGTCGGCTCCTGGCCTGATTCCGGACCTACGCCGGGCAGCCCTCCACGGGCGGAGCAACCCGTGGCAAGCCGCGAGCCGCCATTCCGATTTGACGGTGCTTTTCCACTAATTTCTTCACTCATCATAGTAATTGAAGGAGGTGGATTAGCAAGGGCCGCCCCTTGATCCGACGTGCAATCCATTGCGCCTCCGGGTTCGGATTACCCCTTGGCTGCGTACAAAAATGAGAGGGAGGAGGGGAGCCATACTCAACCTCTCGTTTGTTCCAGGTCGCATCTTAACCTGCTCCTTCACCCAACAGTCGTGCACGCATCGACCAACAAATCGCAATACAATACTAATAAAATTGATCAATAAATCACAATAACTTAATATAAAATGCAAAAACAACAAACAAAGGTAAAATTAACGAACTAAGAACTAAACAAATAGTGACTGAATAAATAAATAAGTAAATAAATTAATAAACATAAAATTGGTCGAACGCATGAACGATACACCATCCCCTATTTACATCTATATACAAATTTGCAGTCTTGGGAAGAGGAGAAACTCTCGACTCAACTCACCTCCGCCGACGTTCCTCTGATCCACGCCGCACTGGTCCGCCCGACGGTCGGGGACACTCACCGCAAAAGCCGTGTCACACGGCATAACCCGCGCCGTCCAACGGTCCCCACGGCCCCTCTCCAGCTAGTCCTCACCTCTGCCCATGGAAGAACCTCTCTTCTACGCCTCACTTTTACTGTGTTCAGACCCTGCAAGCACTAGCGCCCGAGTCCCGCCCGCCGGTCCACACGTGCCAGTTCCCTTTTCTTCTGTTCCACGCGAAGCAGCCATCGACCATCGACCTCCCTGCGGGTAGGGGGCGAGACCCCGCGAACCTCTCACGCGCCCCAGATCCACCGGATCCGGTGTTGTTCCCCGTCGGTGGTCTGCGGGGGCAGCATCCCTTCGAGCGCAACCCAGGTTTTGTAGGAACGTTCTGGCGTCCCAGCCGCAGGCCCGCGCGCTCGGGCCCGCGCGCCAGTACCGCGGTTCACTCCTTTTTTCCGAGGAACCTCCGTTTGCAAGGTCACCACCGTCCCTGTCTCTCCGACGGTTCTTCTCTCCCTTCAGCGAAGCCTGTCGGGCTCCTCTCCTCCCACGGGTAGGTCGCTAAGGTCCCAGCGACTCTACCCGGTTTGGTCCGCGGCTGCTTATTCCCCCTGAGGGTTATTCACAGCTAACCTTCCCCAAGAAAGCCATTCCCCTATCCGCCACCTGGGGACGCGTCTGGTCGCGGTTTTCTCCGCCCTCCACCGGGTTAGGGCTGCAGGCCTCCCGCCATACACCCGCCCAGGGAACCAGAAAACCTAACCTAACCTTGCAACCGTTGGCTTTCCAGCCATCGCCTGCAACGGTCGTGCATCCGGCATAATGGAGATAGCGGCGAACGAGGAAGTTCCAGCCATTGGAAGAGTGTTGGTGAATCAACAGGACATT